CCCTAGCAGCAGCAGCAGCAGCATTGCATTGCACGCACACAACTCAACCAATAAGAACTATGTGTGCTCATCAACCACTGCTGCGTCCTAGTCAATTCCACACACAAACAACCGATAGCGTGCTTCCTGGCATCCAACCGACCGACCGATAGCGCACTTCATTCGTCTCTCGTCCGTTAACAAACCAGGCGATTCGTTGCTTGGTTGATTGCTCGGTGTGTTTGCGTGCGAACGATACAAATGTGCACGTTCTGTGCACGTAGTATCATCTGCACGTGCATCGTCGCATCCGTCTATCCCACTTCGAGACTCCGTCCGAATTTAATCGCTGTTATTATTGGTGATCCGATCTTCTGATGCGCACGACTATCAGTCCGGTCCGACAAATCCGAAATAGTTCAACAGGTGAATGCAAGAGCATACGCACAGTCACAACACTCGAATACATATCGCACACGGAATGTGCACGGAATCGAAATACAACGAAATCACCTAAGAAGAATGGGTTTTGTTTGAAGGAATGTGAACTTACATCATCACTTGTAACAAAAAGATCACTGAGCAAACCTCAAAGCCAAAAACAACCGTAGAATTGGTGGTGGTGGCAGTAGTTGGATATGACCTTGTGATTCTAAATTATTGACAGCATCCATCGTGCAGTATTTACTACACTCAACTGACAAATTCCACATTCGTCATATTCTTCGACACACTATTTACTTCCATCCACTCGAAAAAATTCTTCGCTCGCCAAACGGCTCCTAATCTACCGTCAAGCATGAAGAACTGCTGCTAAGCAAGTGACCTCTTTAATGAGTGTTTGGCAATCGCCAAGCTTTCAACTGCAAATGAATCTCCGTGAAAGTGGAATTGGAGTCAAGAATCAGCTGCTTCAACCCAAATAAAAATTCCTCGCTACTGCACTCGCGCATCCAATAGGAGTTTGTTCGAGATCCGGTGAACTGAGACTGAAATCCAGATCTTACCGACTGCATCTTCTCTGCAATTTCGTTTCGGCTCTACGTTAATATTCTCATTTTCATTTTCCTATGTTCATGTTGTTATGATATTTTTGAATAAACGTTTCATGCCTGCATGCTTGTGGTCCCTTAGTGACAGTGCAGAAAAACATTTCATAATTGATTTTAAATGAACGGCGGTATTGCTTGCCTTTGTTGACGCTGTGGACAAGTGGTATTTGTCGCTTGCCGTTGGGTCTATGTCGGAACAAAAACAAGAGCGTATGTCTATTTTATCACTATCATGAGTACGATCGTACCTATTCAATGCAAAATGCTCACAGTCAGTAGTTGACGGTTTGGAAAGCTGGTAAGAAGGTGGCGGATTATGTCATCACTTCCATTGAGTGATATTGATCAAATGCGTTCACAAATAGCTGATTAAAAATGAAACATCATGTTCACCACAGATCAGTAGGCACAAACATCGAGCAATTAAGAGTGCGATCGGCCTTCTGCACTAATCAAAAGTTTCCTACGTTTCAATGCTCAATAATTATAAGTCACCACACTATCAGATTCGTCGCCTCATCTACGTTTCGTTTTGAGTATTGCGGAAATATTTATCACTCACTCCCTATCGAGCCAGTTTAACAAATATACAATCAAAAATAAAACATTTGAGGTTCACCCACGATTGTTGCGCTTTATTTTTGTATGGATGACATGAAGATAAATTTTAGATTATTATCAGTCATCGATTTACTTCGAAAAATTAATGCAAAAACAAAATTCCGATCGTTTTCAAATGATGGGCAATTCACTTTTCGGAATGAACGAAGTTTGATGACAAAACTGCTCGATGAGAAGAAAGCAAAGAATGATAACATTGCAACATTATTTTGTCTGCATTCGACATTATTATTATCACCAATAACTGTCGATGAAAATTTATCATAGTTTAATGATTTCGTTTATATGATGCTACAAGAAAGCAAGTTCAGATCGTTGAACGAAAACTGATACAAGAACCTTGACATTCTACTCATCAAAGAGTATCGTTCGAAAGAACGACGTCAAAAATGACAACAGAGATTCATTCGTGTGGTCAGTCACAGTTGCTGAGGCAAACAAAAAGATGACTAAAAAGAAATTCATATGCTTGATGAAGGTGCTTTTTCGAAGTTCGAAATGTGTCTTTCGTAGTGATCAGATCATCGTTGAAGCAAAAGGTACAATAACATCACAGCAGCTAAACCTTACCAAATCCAACGAAAATTTTGTAATTAAAATTCAGCAATTCCAAAAAAAATCCAAATCACGTTCATTGATCATCAAAAGAACACTCATCGTCAGCTCCATTGAAAATAATAGTACAATAACAAAAGTATGAGTCAAATCCA